TGCCTATTTGGAACTGTCGGTAATTTATGCTCATTTGTAAGCGTATGAAAGCATGAAAAATTTGACTGGGCCATGGCAATTTTTCACCAGCAACCAACTCTATTTCAGTGACTCATACTATACGAGTACGAGCCAGGCAGAAACACAAAGTTTCTAGTTGGCAGCAATTGCGGCCAATTGCTTTATAAATATAAATTAATAAGAGAGAGAGGGTTCCAATAAAAAAAAGTCAGACTGTCCTTTAAAATGCCTGCCAGTTGCTAACCAACTAACAAGCTGGCCACGCATTCAGAATGGACTGTTGCCCTTCTTGGGCACACGGCCTGACAGCGAGCCAAAGACTTGTTTAGTTGCTTTTGCCCTTTTATAGATGGGGCTAATAACAATGAGACAGGGCGGCCGGTTTAAGCCTAACTAACGTGGAAACGCACTCCGAAGAAGCGCTTCATTTACAATGGGCTGAAGGACTAATTAAACTGAATAAATGTGTTGCGAAACTGATAGCCATGTTGCAACTTAAATTATTTCCAAATTATTACCAATCAGAGCCATCACTGGGCCGGCCTACGACTGTCCGGCCTTACTAAGAGCAAGATAGCGATTCTTAGGAACCAATTTCCTCCCAAATTTATCAGCATTGTCCAGAAGGAGGCCGAGGAGTATTTCCAAATTCATCCAAGTCTCTGAATGGATGTAGTTTATGCGCAAAAACACGCAGAAACTATGGAAGGACGGGACTATGCAACAGTTCAAAGCGGCAACACAATGGGCCACATTTTTTCAAAAATATATTTTTTTAACAACAAAAATATCAATTTTATGGATTGACCGAACTTAACAAGGTTTATTTTTCGACCTATTTCAGTAACTCAACTATATGTTACGCTAAAAGGCGCATTTATAAAATCAAGATCTGGTAGGACAAATATGCATTCGTTTGAGACCTTGCATTTTCATAATAGGTACGTTTTCTTAGATAAGTTTTAGAAATCAACATTTTTAGTTAAGTCGTGCTAATCAGTATGCCAAATATTAAAATCCAGTATCTGCCATAATTTATATTCCAATCTTTATTTTGGCTCATCATAGTTTGCAATTAGCAAACCGTACTCTGAATTTTCTTCACATCTTATTCAAAGTGAAATACATATATAATTTGTTTCCCAATTAGCCATTCTAGTTTCGTAGTTTTTATCAAATTGTAGGTACATTTTTGGGAGTTACTATTTTATTTTAATTGAAAAACGATTTTCTTTGGATTCTTTCAAATATATGCTTTATTCAAAGTACTTGTATTACTTTTAAATTTGAATTGCGGTTTTCCGAACACAAGACTCACCTTTGTTGAGTCTTTAACTGTTTTGAGAAAAGTTTGGAACTAACTAATTTAGGTAACAAATATTCCTTTTATTTAATTATCGCAAATTACATGTTTCGTGTTCATTACTATGAATTGGTTAATCAGCGAATAAATGGCCGGAAGCAGCACTTTTCACTCCACAGTGCAATGCCAGGCCAGTTGGTAAACAAAACATTAATCAAGCGCTTATTAGTGCTGCAGCAGCAGTAGCATCAGCAGCAGAAGCTGCAAGAATAGTAAACAACAACAGCAGGCAATTACAACAAATTGTTTTCAAACGCAAGGCGCGCAAATCAAATCGAACTTTTGGCTAAAACTGCACGCAACTTTGTTGCTATTATGTTAGTCAGCTTGTTGTTGTTGTTGCTGTTGTTGTTAAGCACAGCGTCGAACAAGTTACATTGACGCACGGCAGTAACAACAACAATGCAGTCGCATCCAAAATAATTGGCTGCCATGGCAAGCCAAAACGTCTGCCAATTGTTGCTGGACTGCAATGTTGCTGATGCCAGCATGTTGCCAGCAACTATTGTTGCTATTGGTGCTGCAATGTTGCTGCTATCGCTATGTAACAAGTGTAAGTGCAAGTTTAAAGCTGCTGAGCTGTTGTTGTCGTTGTAGTTGCTGCTGATGCTGCTTCAGCTTCAGCTGGTGAAACTTGGCTAAAGTTGGCCCCTTTCCTCCTGCAGAAAATTAACTGCAACTACAACGCGTCTTTGCCTTTCTTGCTCGACGTAATTGTTGCCAACTCGCAATTTATGTAGCTCGCCAGTTTTAAGCCCGGTTAAGGTAAAAGTTGCTGATCACAACTAGATGTGTGAGTGTGTCTGTGTGTGTGTGTGTGAAAATTATAATGCCCACAGTTGACGACTGCTGTCAATTTCAGCGGTGATTGCAAATTGTGAATGGTTTTAAGCTGTCCGGCTACATAAAATAACTAACTGCACTTAAAAGTGTCAACGAGTAAATAAAAATATGTTGCTGTCGCTACTATTGTTGTTGTTGTTGGTGTTGCTGCAAAACGTGCTTGCCGGGCATTTTTACAATTTTCAAAAGGTAATGCACACACACACACACATGCTCACTCTTTATTTATTTATGTTGTGGTACGGTCTGTTATTCTTTTTTATTATTTTTTTTTTACTGTCAACACACGAACATCACCAACCTGCGGGCTACGGACTACGGTCTACGGGCTGCGGGCCTTGAGCCTTGGGCCTCGCTTTGCTGCCAGCGAGTGCAGTTTTATGTAAACAATAACAAAACACAATTGTGACGCGTGATTTTGCATAAGTTGGCACAGAAGTCAGGCAACGAAAAGCACCAACAATGAGCAGCATATCCTTTCACATGAATATTAATGCGATGGCTCTGCACGTATTTGTATATATGTATGTATGTAGATATTTATTTTTTTTAATAAAAAAAATCGAAGCCGGCATGTTGTCAAAATGAAATCATAAACGAAAACTCATCAACGGTGGCAGCCGAAGCAGCATCGTTTGTTTTTTGCGGCATTACCTGACTTTTATTTTTGCTTTTACAATGCAGAAATGAAATCATAAACGAAACGTCATCATCATCAGCTATATCAATAAAAATCGTCGCGTTGTCTATCTGACAGATATACAGATAAACACAGTCACTATATAGATTGATCTTCTCTGTCTGTTTATTTGTTTTACTTGCTGCATCCCGCTTAGTTTTAAAGCTAACGAGCTGTAGGGAGCATTGGGAAACAATAATTGCAATGTGTGTTTTTTTTTTTGTATCTTCATAATACCCGTTTTCTAAACTAGTCTTAGCAGCCCCAAGTTGGGCGCTCTTATGGAAAATTTACAGCTTTAATTTAATACATTCCCGTCCCATCATTTCAAACCATCACCTTTAATTCCATATTCTATCTATTCAGATGTAGTTATTAAAACTTTCCTGGAACATTTATTCATTTATTATACGCATAATGATTATATAAACAATTTTTGAAATATAATAAACTATTTGAGTCAACTGTGGAAGTAAAAGTTTTTATAGAAAATAATTTACATTAGATTAATTTATTAGTAGCATAATGAAAGCTATTGTCACCTAAACAATGTTTCCAAAATGAATATTCATCAATAAAAACCATTGGCAACATAACAAGCAGCATCTTTGGCAACACTGGCATTGGAAACCTCATCAGCTACTACATCATCAAAACGAACTTTTTCTTTCAGTTGTGGGCTTACTACTATTTAAATAGGAATAAAGCGAACGTATTAAAAAGAACCCCAAAAGATTATAGAATATATATACAGATATACAGATAAACACAGTCACTATATAGATTGATCTTCTCTGTCTGTTTATTTGTTTTACTTGCTGCATCCCGCTTAGTTTTAAAGCTAACGAGCTGTAGGGAGCATTGGGAAACAATAATTGCAATGTGTGTGTTTTTTTTTTGTATCTTCATAATACCCGTTTTCTAAACTAGTCTTAGCAGCCCCAAGTTGGGCGCTCTTATGGAAAATTTACAGCTTTAATTTAATACATTCCCGTCCCATCATTTCAAACCATCACCTTTAATTCCATATTCTATCTATTCAGATGTAGTTATTAAAACTTTCCTGGAACATTTATTCATTTATTATACGCATAATGATTATATAAACAATTTTTGAAATATAATAAACTATTTGAGTCAACTGTGGAAGTAAAAGTTTTTATAGAAAATAATTTACATTAGATTAATTTATTAGTAGCATAATGAAAGCTATTGTCACCTAAACAATGTTTCCAAAATGAATATTCATCAATAAAAACCATTGGCAACATAACAAGCAGCATCTTTGGCAACACTGGCATTGGAAACCTCATCAGCTACTACATCATCAAAACGAACTTTTTCTTTCAGTTGTGGGCTTACTACTATTTAAATAGGAATAAAGCGAACGTATTAAAAAGAACCCCAAAAGACATTAATGTTTTCGTTCATAAAATACATGTTTATAGCCATTCAAAATAGCTGAGTACACATGTTTCCAAAATGAATAATCATCAATAAATACCATAAGCAACATTATGAGCAACATCTTCAGCAACACGGCATTGGCAACCTCAATAGCCTGATCATCATTATCATCATCACCATCATTTGTTGTTATGGCTGTCGCCACGAAACCAACACACACACACACATGCACATATACTTTAAAGCGCAAATGGATGAAGACATTTTTATGGCCAATTAAGTGGCAGAATAAAAAATCATAAATCGTTAAATGAATTTTGCGGCAAAACAAAATCAATTCAAACAGCTTAAAAACTCATTATGCAAATGCCCCAAAAAAAAAGTAAAGAGAAAAAATTAAGTTGCCAATAAAAACCGCAGCTCAAGCGGTTCATAAATTAAAAGCAACAACAAAAAACAAGCTCAGCCAAGTAAGCTTAAATGTTTGCCCTTTTAGAGTACCATATAAAAACATTCGCTAAGCTTAACTCAAATCAGCGCCAACCTTTTGGCCTACAATTAGAGCAATTCAACTCTGGCAATTGTCGCCAGCGCCAACGCCAACGCAACATCTAACCAAATTAGCTAAACTAATCGTTGGGCAATCTTTTGACTTCTTTCGCCGCTTCGAAATTAGTTGGGACTCACCTGATCGCGCGCCAATTGGAACCAAGTCTTGATGATCAGCGCCAGCCGCGTGTCGTGATAGTTTTTGGTTGTCTTAACGCTAATGAAAATGTCATCGAGTTCAGTGATCGGCGGCTGTGGCGTTGCGGTCACCGCTCGCTGCGACAGATCATGCAACAGTTCACCGTTACGGCTGCGCCGTGCCAGATCGTTGAGGAGCGCGGCCGTCGGTCGTTCGCTGACCTCAATATCGCTGAAATTGAAGCTACGTATATCCTTGCGTATGATAACCGTTGTTTGGGCAGGTGGTGACGATCCAATCGACACCGCCGACGCGGCATGCGTGGGCGTGGCATGCAGCCCCCGGGCCAGCGGTGCAGGCTGCGAGGACGTATATTCCTGCAGCAGTTGCAGCTGCTCCTTTTGTGTGAGCGATGAGGGTGCGGGTGGTACAATGGTGGTGGTGGCAACTGAGAGTTCATTGCCATCCAGTTGACTAAAGTGCTGTGTGGGCTGCAACTGCAATCAAAACAGAGAGAGGGAGAGAGGGTGAGAAACAGAGGGGCGTGTGTGAGAGAGGGCTTGTGAAAGATTTGCTTAAGACAATGACAATGTAAATTTGTTGTGTAAATGGTAGACTGCAATAAAAATGAAGACGCGTCTTCATCGCATTCCCTCCCTTCTTTTTATACCCTTCGCTAAAAATTATGAGGATATATTGCTTTTGGGTGTAAGCACTACACTACACTAATATTACAGCTTATTTATAGATTTTAATTGGTGGTATCTGTCGAGATCGTGCAGGAACATAACAATGGTTATAGCTGTTTGAAAATTATTTTGGAAAACGATTTTCTGCACGCTGCAGAACCTTTTTTTTGATGTAAAAATTTGGTGCGTCACGATGCGAAATTTCGTTACTTGCTTAGTAGGGCAGTATTCCAAAGAAAGTTCGCTACGTGACGTGACGTTGATTACCTTGCCAAGATTTTTTTATAGGTTTTTTTTAGGTTTTTTAGTAAAAATTCAACCCATTCGGACTCGAATTATAATAATTATTGTAAAGTTCATAAAATACGGCTTCTAACATTTTAATTGCAATGTTATTATTATATAGTGCTTAATACCCAATTCCTATTCACTTAACTTATTGATATAGGGAGTGAATTATTTCTGTCGGCACAGCATTGATATCAGAAATTCGTTGAGCTGTCGTTGTACCTCGTCGAAAGGTTTTTGTGAAGGGCATACAGCTGTGGTGCAGACGAAGGTAGATTCTTAGCCTGCTTGCAGTGCCAACAGGCATTTTCACAATGCAAACAAAGGCGAACTTCAACAAACAACAACAAAAGCAACAACAAGAACGGCAAACAAATAAGCAGCAGAAAACAAACCAACAAAATAGCTGAGTAAGAGCAAACACACAAACACACAAGCACACACACACACTTACTCAATCACTCACACACTCACTTTGTGCTGAGCGCTTGATTAATTTCCACTGATAACAGGTTCATTTGCTTTTGTTTGCTCTCAGCGAACGTTGAGCGGCACTTCAATCTCTAGTTGTTGTTGTTGTTTTTGTTTTTGTTGCTTTGTGCGCCTGCGCAACGGCCAAACATTTAAATGGCCTGTGGGTTGGTTCTCTTTGACGAGATTTGATTGAAGTGCGCTGATAACTCGACGACGATGACGTCGTAGACGACAAAACGACAAAACGACGGTTCGCCTAATTCATTTTAATGGCTTTGAATTTCATTTCAAATTGCAGTAGAGTGAGAACGACATACTTACATATGTATGTATGTACTACACACACGTACATACACGTATCTAGTTGGAGAGTGGCAAAAAATAAGTATAAGGCAGGGAAATAGACTGACATCAAAACCTTACAATGAACATTAGAAGAGCGCAGAGTTACACTTTTATTCTCAATTAAAATAACATTCTTGCAAAATAAAAACAAAATGATTTCGTTTATTTTTTACAGTTCTGATTTAAGTAAGATTTTAGGAAAACATTCTAAGACCTTTCCAAAAATAACTGACGTCTAATTAAATAGGCGATGTCGACCAAAAATATATATCGAGCGTATCCCTTCGTTAAAAATAATTATTTAAAAAATGAAATTGTGCAATTCGCAAACAATAGCATTCTAATGAAAAAATTAATTTTTTTCTTTTTTTCATACAAATAATTTGTACAAAACTAAGTTCCAGAAAAGTTCTTTAGAAAAATATATTTTTTTCAAACTCTTGTTAACAGAAATAAAATTTCTTCCTCATATATTTGTGAAATTCAAGAAGTTTGTGTGCAAATTATTTGCCAATTCGACCACTCCTGAAGACACGGAATAAGCAATATAGGAAGGTCTAAAGTAAAATACGGTTTATTGAAAACTGATAGTATTAGCTACGAAACGAGGAAATGAGTATTGATCCCTCCGTTCTTAAAGAAGAATATTAGTACTAATGTTAATACAAATACACTGTTGAAATTCCAAAAATTCCAAAATTCACAATTTAAGCCTTTAAGATCGCACATTATCTCAAAATTACATTTAAACAATTTGAATTAAACGATACAATTGTATTATGCTATTTGTTAAACTTGATTGGACTGGTAATAATAAAAGATATCTGAAAATGACATCTAAATAATTGAATTAAACGATACAAATTCTATTCTGCTATTTATTAAACTTGGTTGGACTGGTAGTAATAGTCGAAAACTGACCAATGTACTTGATTATCCTCAAATATTTTTTAAAATTTTAAAAGTCTGCCATATGAAGATTTTTAGAATCTTTTGAGCCATCGTATTTGCTACAATCGACGTAGGAGTTTCGTGTGGATTTCCTGTTTAACATTTTCCCACATAAAGTTAATTAAATTCAAAAAATAGAAAATAGGTTTAATTAATTTCCTTGAACTAAAAGGGCATTTTCATTCCATTACTCCTATATACCCACCTAGTTTGTTGAAGCTATCAACTCAAAGTTTAGTTAGCAATTAAAACATTTTCTCCATTCTACGAGTATGTATTTAAAGCAACTCCCAGACTATTTCCGCTCTGTGTCAAGCGGCGTTATTCAAATCAGTTGACTTGCCTCCAACTTCCTTAACAAACCGGACTATTTCTAATGTGTCTACGTTTTTATGGCTCTACTTCAGCGTCTGTTTAAATGGAATCATTTTCTCTTATATTTTTATTACAAGCTTAAAAAGGCACAGCGGCTATAGACCGAGTGGTTGTGGTTGTCGAATTCGTTATTGTGGCTCTTGCTGTTGTTGTTGCTGTTGCCACCGTCATTGCTGCTGTTGTTGTTGTTGTTGTTGTTTTATATTTCTTCACGCGATATTGTCTCGTTGATAGCGGCTCATACATTTTTATTGCGGCACGATCGACAAACGGTGTTCAATATAATAGCGTCGATGATAAAGAAAACGTAGAAAAAAGCCACCAAAGAAATACAGAAATAAGAGGAAAGACGTGAAGACGTGAAGACGGCTTGGCCGGAGATCGGTGTGCGGGCAGTTGGAAAACAGCTTCCTAGGCAGCGACTATTGGCCTAATGAGGCACCCAAAACGTCTCTTGTGCATACTCAAAAGACAGCCACAGTAACAGCAACAACAACAGCAGCAGCGACCATTGAGGCAAGGCATGTGGCAAGTGGCAGGTGTAAATTGTAATATAAATGTGAGCGTGTGTGTGTGTGTGTGTCTGGGCCTGATTAAGCTTGGAAAGTTGGTCAACGAACAGCAGGGCAGCAATTAAAACGTTGAATTATGAATTTGCCAAAGAGAAGAAAAAGAAAAAGCATTCAACATACATACTTGTTACATACTTGTATGTGTTTTGCTGAACTCAATTGGAACGACTGTATATAAAGATTAAAAGCCGTAGATAATTTATTTAAAGAGTCGTGATTTTTATGTGAAGTGAAAGCAGCTGATCGCAGGCACTTAACAGGTTGCCGCCACCTTCTGATTTAGTTAGAATTCGTTCGAGGTTTAATGCATATGTGTACATATATTTGTATGTACAATACATATATGCATAGATTAGAATGTAAAATGTTGTGCCATGTGAACGAGTATACAGCATGGGTTGTATTCAAACAAAAGAGAACGTTACAGACTACTTGTCTAAAAGTAAAAAAGCCTGCACCCACAAAAAAAAAAAAAAAACCACCACTGCATTGTTTAGTTTGCTTGGCTTTGGAATTGTGGAAACTGCTTAATAGAGTCTACATATCAGGTTTGGTTTATGTGGACTTAGGCGTTCCAGAATATATAAATATGCTTTTTAGGAATACTATATATGTACTATATGGGGTTGGAGGTGCTTGCATGTTGTTCACAAACCTACCGTTCTTATCCTTCTGTATCTGAGTATAACAAAATAAACTAACCAAATATATTTGCCAGACTGACATATAATCTGTTCCCTATTATTTACAAGTCTTTTTCTTTATCTCTTTATGCTATTAGACAAATTTTTCTCTATACAACTGTTAAGGTAGCTGGTTTTGCAAATATTGTTTAATAAATTAGTCCGTAAATAGGATTTGATGTTAATCCATTTACATAAAATATTGAAACCCACTAATATGCCGAAGCTATATCTTCATTTGAACAAATAAAGTGGAACAAATTTGAATATCAGTTAAGAATGTTATAAAAATAATTTTATCTATAAACAGCACTTTCAATAATCTATTTTGAAAACCTCCCGCTCGTCATTTCTAATGTCAGACAACCCTCGCAAATCTGTATGCACTCTTTATATATATGTACGTATATATATTAATCACGGTTATGGACTAGAGTGCACAAGCTGATGCAATTCAACTCATTTATGCAAAACACAAATGGCAATTCATGGCACATGACAATAACAACTAAAGATACTTGAGAAAGCCACAGAAAAGCGCCAGACAGCGCAACCCACACACCAACAGACAGCAAAAAAACAAAAGAGAAAAAACAACAACAATGCGACTCTTGTGTCACAAAATTGTGCGCATGCTCATTGGGAATTACTTGAACGTGATTAAACTTATAAATAACATGTAGAACATTGTATACACTCAACAAAAAAGCCGAAAATATAGAAAAGAGTCCCTTTCTAAAAGCAAATATTCCAATTGCGAGTAATAAATAAATGCAATCTTAATTTATGTGTCTTAGGATGAAGGTATTTTTAGAAAGTTTGTTCTTAAATACAAGTATAATAATAAAATATTTCGGATGTAAAGCCATATTCGAAAAAAATTAGTGCTATTATTTCAATTATTATTTTCCAAAAATATGGCACTAGACTGAAAACTCTGTAAAATATATTTTCCCAAGTGTACTATATATAAGTGTGTGTGTGTGAATTAGTTTGTCTGTGTAGCCATGAAACATTCGCCAAATGTGGAGGGAAAATGCAAACACATGCAGACATGCACGCCTGCGCAGCTATCCAACAGATACGCGCACAAAACAAAGCGAACCCATGAGATACAAAT